GGCGTAAAGTCAGCTAAATGAGCTGTCAGTGAAGTAAGGTGGACATGCATTTAGAGAGGTTTAAGAAGTAAAAATCTACAAGAAAGACACCAAATTTTGGGAGGTTCTATTTGGCTTCAAGCCAGTTTATATTATATGTACTATACGCTTACGCGTAAGTTGACATACGAAAAAGTTATTATAAGTGCATAATAAGTTAGAGTAATTTTAAATATGTATTAATAATCGCATGTAATTTTAATAGAATAAAGTAGTAAATAAAAACCATCCATATAAAACTCTCTAATATTACTTCTTATTGTACTATCTTTATATCCAAACTTTTTGTTTGATGGCTACTAATAAAAGTAATAAAAACGTATTTGAAAACATCTTTGCTAAAACCCAGTGAATTGGAATATTTAAACAGTGAAATCTCTAAACTTCAAGATATTTATTTAACCAATGATGACTTGGATGAAGAGTCTGATAATGAATTTATTGATAATGAAACCTATGATGGAACTTCAGAAGCATTAGTCGTATATGTTGATAATTATTTTTCAGCCAAACAAATTGAACGTTTCCATAAAATGTATGTGCTCTATCCGATGCATGTATTAGCTGAAAATGAAAAAACTCGTAATAAGAAGTTAGATAAACGGGATGATGATGCGTTTTTGGAGAAGTTGCAACAATTAATTTGTTGTGTTAAAAGATGTCTTTTAAATGTCGATCCCCAGGCAGCATTTAACACAAAGTGAATCGAGCTTATGTTTTCGTGGAATAATTGATGCTAGCATGCATGCTACAGAATTCAAAAATGTAACACCAAAGGCATATTTGACAACGAATTATAGATTTGAAGGTGTCATTATTTGTCAAAAAGCTTGGTATACAATTTATGATATTCAAAAAAGGCGATGAGAGACTTTACATACTCACTATCAGAATTTTGGTCTTAAACCAAAAATTCATGGCTTAACCGGACACGTTAGTAATCATGCAATTTCCTTTTCAACTACCTTAAATGTACTTAAATTTACTGCAAATTTCGCCAATCAACATGGACTCCCATCACTGGGTAAGCAACAATTATCGTAATATCACCCTGCATTAGTGTTAGTACGTACACGGGATAGTCATTTGGTATTATAATAAATTATAATTATATACTTGAACATATTGAAACAAACTGGCGTCCTGTAGCAATTAGGCTGCGAGTTATAATATAAAATATATAAATAACTCTCGCTGTAAGAACCTTTGATATAATTCTCAATATATAACAGTGTTGGCTGATGATCTATGTCATAGCATTTTTTTTCTATACGTATGACAGGTCATATAATCATATGACTTTTGTTATAATCATATCAGTCATATTAAATGCTAATAAAAAATACTTTTACTATGATTCTTACTATATTAAAAAGATCATAAATCATATCAATCTTCAATATGACCGAATGATCTATGACAGGTCATAAAGGTCATATAGGTCATTTAAATCATAGGCTAATAATAAACCCACTTGATATAAGAGAGTTATTAATAAACTCGATATAAGAAAATTTTGTAAATTTTCATTATGGACCTGACCACTTTTTTATATGTATCGAAATTCACTTGTATTTTGGTTGTACTATATTACTAAGATAATTAAATTTTTAGGGTGTAATTTTCGGGATAATACTCGCGAGATCATCTATTTACCTGCATGTAAAAGCAAGAGATCTTTATACCGAATTTATAATAGCATAGAACATGATGAAATAAATAAAGTTAGTTTATCGAGTTTTGAATGCATTTGGAAGAGGTATCTTCCTGGAATTCAATTTATGACATCACGCAGTGACTTATGCATGCTTTGTAAGAAAAAGCGATTTGGAGCAAAATATTGGAATAGAGATGAAACATTACAAAAATTAAATGAATGGACTAATCATTATAATTGGGCATGTTTAGAACGCGAAAATTATAGGTAATAATTTGAATTTGATTAATTCTATACACTAGAGGTCAGATCCATGAATATTCACAGTTAGAAATAGATATTCATTGAGTATTCAATATTGGTTACACAAATTTATGAATAGTCAAGGGTTTGTAATTGATATTTATATTCATAAATATTTGTGTGAATATTTGCATGAATATTCATGGTTACAATAATAGATAGATATCCATTCAAAATTTGGATATTCATTCAATGCTATTCGTAAGCATCAAACCCGCGAATATCTACTGAATAGCCATGATGGATATTCAAAGGATCTAACCCGCCTTACTTCACCCACAGTCATTTTTCTGACATCACGCTAACAATTTACTAAAAATGTATACCTGCTGCTAACCCTAGCCCTTATGTGATGTCGGCTGAATGAATTTTTGGTAAAATGCAGGGATAATTAGAGTTGAGAATGCCAAATCTTGTTCAAAGTCACTGCAGGACCGATTAACATCCCTAGTATAGTATAGATTTGAGAATCGGCCTATACCATACTGGGATCCGTATTATTTCACTGACTTCGTAGACACCATATTTCACCAACAAGACAAGTTCATTTCACCGACAGTTTATTTCACCGAAGCTTATTTCATCGACAAGTTTTTTTTTTATAAATTATACTAAATTTAATTCTAATTCTAGCCTGACCCTAATGATATTGACCAGAATTACTTTGTCTGTAAAATGAGCTTCGTGAAATAAATGTTGGTGAAATGAACTTGTTGATAAATAATTGTCAGTGAAATGTGGACCTATACCATACTGATCTGTAATGAGCAGCACTCATATTTATTATAAATTCTAGGAATTGTATTTCTAGAACTAAAATGGCTTTAACTTCCTTAACTAATCTTTCACGATCTGGAATTCCAAATTTAATTGACATTGAAAATCACGTTTCGTGGGATTTCGCGAAAAATGTACACATTCTCTACTCCACACAACAAGAGGGTGCCGTTTACTTTAAGTCGCTTTATAAAGTCGAAGTATTTGGTATTTGTGAGGAAGCTATACCACGACAGGTAATTGAGATAATTTTACGACTACAGTCAGACCCTCTAAATGCAACCTTCCTAAAATGCATTGGCCTATAAAATCTTCCTAAATACATATCCTTTCTTGGGTCCAGCTTGTAGATTTTTACCCCTTAAATGCAATATTTCTAAATACATGTTTGACTCAATTTTTACGTATGGTCTTATTTAGAGAGTCTGGCTGTACATTAATTATTATTTATTGATTATGTACAGAGCATTAGACAAAATTAAAATTCATTATGTCAGGATGGCACATTTAGTGACCCTAACCAGTTAACTAAATAACCATTTTATTTTTTTTTGAATAATCTTAGTTAACACTGGTAAAAAATAAAAAATTCACTGTGTCGAATAGTACTATTCGAATGGCATTCGAATAGTGCCATTTGACACATCGAATTTTTTTATTTTTTACCAGTGTAATTAGTTAACCAGTTAATAATTAGCCAATTAACGTTTACATGGTTAGGCATGCTATTTAATTTAAATAATGTCTATTAAATCACGTGCCAAACTTTACCATACTCTAGTGCCATTCCGGGTTGATTATAAATTGGAGTAACCTGAAACGGGTCTGAAAATATGGAGTAAATTTAATGGGGTGGGTTGAGGATTAGATCGATCCAACCCAACCCATTAACAACCCTATTTGGAGTATACTCTGCGCAAGATTAAGATTTTATTTATTACAATTTCGTGTAAGTTATAAGCTTATGAAGTGACATTCTATTTGAGGTAATAAATAATTCTCAGTAATCGATGAATTTATCGATTTGAAAAGCTTTTATCACATGATTCACGTGATATTATCTTGCGTAAAAAATGCTCGCGCATAGTATATTTCTAATTTGAAGCATATATATATTAAGGATGCTCTCAAGCACCTAAATTAATAGATCGGTGCTCAATTTTTTTAATTAGTGGAAAATAGACGGTCAAGTGAGTAGAGCTGGATCCTTTGAATATCTGTTGTAGTTATTCACTGAAATTTACAGGTTTTAGTCATTCACGAATGATAGTGAATGAATATCTGAATTTTATATGGATATCTGTGAATATTCATTGAAAATAATATTATGTAAATTTAGCTAATCCTTGATTATTCAGCTTTTAATTGAATATTCATTTTCATCGGTGGATATTCATGGATCCCACCTCTACAAGTGAGCTCATTATCAGAATGAAAAAAAAGATGGTCAAGACCATCTTTTTTTATCAGAGTTGTGTTTATTGTCTAAAATTTAAAATCTGCATTCCCCACTGTGAACTTTTAGTAAAATTTTAGTAAGGATTACCTCAATTAATTGTAGTGCTTGTATATGATCTCGTTTACTAGCTGATCGTATTGAAGGAGATGCTTAAGAGCACCTAAATATTTTAATTTTGATTTAATGCTGAGTTCTTATAAAAGTTGATTTAAAAACTTGCATTTAAGAATTTGCAATAATTATTTTTTAGATTAATTACCTTATTCCAGAACACCAAAGCATTGGAAAAGGTCCAAACACCGTAGTATCTCTTGTCCACCATTATTTTGCTAACCATAGCCTTGGCGAAAAGTGTGTAGTTATTCATGCAGACAATTGTGTGGGTCAAAACAAAAACAATATGATGATCAAGTACCTTTGTTGGAGAATAATGAGTGGTCTGCACGACAAAATTACATATAGTTTTATGGTTCCTGGTCACACGAAATTTGGCCCAGATGGCTTTTTTGGGTTGTTCAAACTAAAACTTAGAAATTCAGAAGCTGATGATTTAAACGATTTAATGCATATTGTTGAACAATCGACGACTGGTGGATATAACAAGGCAGATACTGTTATTGATTTTAATGGAAATAGAAAAATTAAATTTTATAATTAGAATCAATTTTTGGATCAGTTTTTTATACAAGTTCCGTCTATTCTTATGCAGCATCACTTTATTATGTCCCATGATCATCCTGGTAAAATAAAAATCATTCGATAGTAATGAAACTAAAATTTCAATTGCTCGAGTTTCTTCAATTCCAAAAAACTAAAAAGGGAGAATTGGTTTTTCCAGATGTAATTATTCCACAAGGAATTGGTTTAGAACGGCAGTGGTATTTGCATGAAGAAGTAGCGCAACATATTCAAAATCCAGAGAAATGCGATCTTTACTGTAAAATGCCTGACCAAGCCAAAAAAAACTAAAACAAACATGGTTTAATGGTATATTTAGTTTTAAATTCCTTATTATATTTGTGAATAACGTTAAGAGAATTAACATTAATAATGTTATTACTAAAATAGGTACACCATCGGCATCCCCTAATGGGGTTTAAGCAAAAAAAAAAAAAAAAAAAAAATTATAACAAATAGACGAATTATATAACTAGTAAAACAGTGATGTTTCGTGGGCTGGGGTTTCGATTATATTAAATTTAAAATAATATTTAAATTTTATAAATTGCTAAGGTTATATTTATAATAAATTTAAAGGAATCTTTGTTGTAAACGTGCATGCATTTTGCCCTAATCTTTAATCTTAAAAAAAAAAAAAGCTATTGAAAAGATCAGTAAGAGTATTCTTGATACATCTACAAATGTAAGGCCAGTTGCAAATTCCTTATTATGGCTTGTGATAAAAAATTGACCGAATGATTATTTTGCGAAAGTTTTTAATTTGGCAGTGACAAAAAAGGTTCTGAATATAAGCTTTCATGATAAATAAATTACAGGAGGAAGCATTAATAAAAAAAAGTTCAATACGAACAAGAATTTATTTACTGAACTAAAAAAAAATAGAACTCAAGGTATAATGGCGTTGTTAATTATATAACAGGCAATATATCAATAATTTAACTAATAATGCTATACATATTTATTTTTGTCAACCCGGTAACAGAAATTTACAGTAAATGTAACTACTACTATTTAAATCACTTTTGTTACATTAATTAGTACATAAAATAGTCAAATTATTTGCAGTAAATCTTATCTAAATCATTTTGCAATCATAATAGACGACAACTGAATTTTTTACAATAAATCACATACAAATTATGATAAATCCACTTGCCTGTAGCTACCGAGTTTTTATGGTAAATCACAAGAATCCAATGCAAAACTAACTTAAATCACTTACTGGCGGCTACAAACTCATCCCGGTCTTGGCTCAGGTGTGCCATCAAAACAGTTCTTTAAATACGGTAACTGAATTTTTTTTATAGTAAATTACCATACAAATCACATAATCAAATACAAAGCAAACTTTAACCCTATCTAAACCATTTACTGGCGGTTACTCAGATGTCATCACGATGGTTCATGTATAGTAAACCAATTTTTTAGCATACAAATCACAAAAACCCAATACAAAACTAACTTTAACCCACTTACCAGTGGCTACAAACTCATCCCAGCCTTGGCTCAGGCATATCATCTGTAAGTATAGTAACTGAATTGTTTAACATTAAATCACCATACGAATCACAAAACTAACTTTAACCCTATCTAAGTCACTTACCAGCGGCTACAAATTCTTCCCGGTCTTGGTTCAGAATTGTCATCACGATAGTTCTGTAAGTATTGTAACTGAATTTTTTACGGTAAATCACCATACAAATTACAAAATCCAATCTAAATTACTTATCAGTTGGCTCAAATATGTCATCACGATCGTCCTGTAAGTACAGTAAACAAATTTTTACGGTAAATCACTATACAAATCACAAAAATCCAATGCAAAACTAACTTTAACCTTATCTAATTAACTTACCAGTGGTTACAAATTATTCTCAGTCTTGGCTCAGGTATCTCATTACAATAGTTCTGTATGCACAGTAAACGAATTTTCTATGGTAAATAACCATACAAATCACAAAAATCCAATACAAACTAACATAACCCTCTCTAAATCACCTACCAGCAGCGTTCTTGGAATTTTTCTTCGCTAGGTATGTCACACAATAATCTGTAAGTGCAGCAACTGAATTTTTTATGGTATACAAATGCTTACGTATCATTATTTGAAATATTTGATAACTTCATTGCTTCGTGATTCCATAGAATGTATTAACGTTTTGGTGGTAAGAAACACTTCATAATAATTTAAGCTAATTATTTGCATTATAAGAAGTAAAATGTCATTAAAGTTTTAATATAACATAAAAAATGCCCAGCTGATAATATTACTATAGCTCTTGCTAACCAGTATAGTTAACCTTAATCCTAACCACGATGCTCCCAACCCGAAAATTTAGGGATACCTCATTAATAAATTCTTTAATGGTTCTTTCATCAATACTAGTATCAACTTTAAGGCATTTAAGACCAACCATTAATTCATTGTCTCTCCATTCGTATTTAAGAACCTTTCCAAAACCTCCAATACCAATTACAATAGGGTCTGTAAATTTATTATATTCGATATAATTAATACAATGAATTCATGAAAAGCCATCATTTACTGGAGACTCAGAATTTTTTCTCCTACATTCACAATAAATCCAATACCAAACCAACATAACCCTATCTAAACCACTTATCACAATAATCGTTAAGTGCATTAAAACTGAATTTCTTGCAGCCCACTACTATACAGATCACGATAAATCTAATATAAATCACTTAACATTATAGTGAGTGGTTACAAAATGCAAGTTACAAAATACTTACTGGCACGAAACCAACAACGAAGAACTGACGAAAGGAATTTTGATTGGAAGATGATCGTTCGGAGCGCAAGAAATCAAAATGGACGACTCTACGACGATTAGAAAAGAAGTATTTTTGTAGGCGTCAATAGAAATGGGACAAATCTATTAGATAAAATTTGTCCCTTTTCTATTGACGCACGAATTTGCATGTTCGGAATTTTGATTCGGAATTTTAGTTTGGATTGGCCATTTTGCTTCGAATGATGATCAAATTCATGTAACATAAACATAAAAACACGATTATCTCAAAATAATGTTTAACCCGATTTGTCCCTTTTCTATTGACGTCACCCCATATGCTGCTTATACTATTATGAGTTTTTTTGGGTTTACTAACTGTGCTGTTGATTGAACAATTTCTTTTGCTCTTGCCTTAACAAGAGCTTTGTCTAAATTATTATTAAGCCATACTCCTAGAAACCTTGTAATTTTATTCTTTCCTTCTTCTGCTATCCATTCATTGCCAAAGAAGATCTTTTTATCTTCTCTTTTTTCTCTTGAATTTACTACAATCAATTTAGACTTCTTTCCATTTATTTGAATATCATTCAGCTTAAAGAAGTCTTCTGCAATCTGTACTATCTCTTCCATCTGTTCTTTGAATTCTGCGATCCATATTGTATTATCCATATATGCAACTACTGCCTGCTTCTATCTTCTTTCTGTTACATAGTTCACACTATAGTTATATAGGATTTGCTGAGATACTGTATATCCTAGATCTAGGTCCTTATTAATTCTTGACAATAATAGATCATAGAAAATCTTCCACACTAATGGTGAGATCACTTCTTCTTGCTCAATACCATCGTTTACTTCAAAACATTGAGTTGTTCCTAGATTTGTGATAATCCTCGACTGTCTATTCTCAAATAAATTAAGAATAAATCTTATCGTAATCTGAGGAATCTTGAGTCTTCTTATTGCTAATTCTAATGATTCAAAAGAAACAGAATCAAAAGCCTTTTCATATCTTGCAGAACTAGCCACAATTCTTTTCTATTGTCCTTTGCATCTTCCATTATGGCATTTATTATTTGAACTAGTTCTTCTGTTGAATTTTCAGGCAAACCTGCAAAATTTGGACTTTTTAGAATGTTTCTTTCTGCCAACACTTGTGCCAACCTCTTGGTTACTATTTTAGTAATACATTTTCTAAATGTTTCTAGCAATGCAATTGGTCTGATGTTATTTAAATCATAATGCCAGTCCACATCCTTGGGAATTGGATATATTTGCGAGATTTTCCATTTCAATAGTACTTTGTCTGATTTGATACAAATTTCTGCAAATAGGCAAAAAATCTTTTGTGTCTGTATACTTGCTGCTTTAATTAATGTATATATAATTTCAGAGACACCTGGAGCTATATTTTTCTTCAGATTTTTTAACATGTCAGACCATTCTTTTTCTGAGATATTCTGATCCAAATTATTGTACTACTCTTCTTGTATATCATCGTTTGGTCTGTAGACAGGCTCCCAGTTCTTCTCCCAAAGATCCTTATTAAAATAGTAAGGTCTGAATTGTTTTTGAAAGTATTTTCGTATTTTGTTTAAAACCTCCTTTGGGTCTGTAATAAGTTTTCTTTGATTTTCCTTTTCTTCTAGAAGTCTGTTAATTTAGATCTTCTTGAACAGTTTCTTTAACAGACTTGCAAGCATTTTGCCTTGCTTTCCATCTATCATCTGATGTCTTTTTTTGATATTTTCTTCTATCTCCTTCTTTTGTTATAATCCGATCTTTCCTGCTTTTCTTGCATACAGTATTTTCTACCAGCCTTTCAGATCCTCAACTAGTTCATAGAACCAACAGTTGAAAGAAGTGTTAATACTTGTCCTGTGTTGCTAGTTTGTATAGTCTAATTTTACAATTAAGTCATCGATATAGTCGTAAATAAGATCTAATTTGACACTGTTCCTTTTTATACTTATCCACCTTCCTAATTGCATTATTGTATATGATAACCTTGACTTTTTTGCCTTTTTCTTTCTATTCTGCACTGTATTATAGACCTTTTTCTTTCTATTCTGCGCTGTATTATAGACCTTTTTCTTTGGCAAATTACATCTTGTTGTGGTGAAGATACTATTGCTTATATCATCCAAAGCGTATCTAGTTTTACTATCTTATTTGTATAGTCTTCTTCTTTTAGAAAGTTTTGAATATTTATACTTTTATTAAGCAAACTGTCTATTTGCTTTCTGTAATCTTTCCAGTTTTCTTTTTTCGCCTTTTCACAGAGAAAAATTGTTCTTGTATAACTACTTCTTCTACAATCTGCTACACTTTGGATTGCAATTAAATGATTTAAGTCTATTCTAATTAATACTGCTGCATGATCACTATTTGTATAGAAATCTATTTCTTGTATTTCTATATCAAACAACCCATATGATAGTTCATTTGACACCCAAATCTGATTAATTTTTGTACTTGTCTCTCTGTTTGACTAGGTGAATTTTCTGGCTCTAGAGTATATTGTTCTAAAAGCATATTGAAACTCCTATCTCTGCAGCCAATTTAGAAGAACGTCTTTTTTTAAATTTTTTTTCTCAGTATTTTGCGTTCTGTCAAACTCTGGATCTACTATGCTATTAAAATCTCCTAGAATTATTTTTTTATTTTTATTTTTATTTTTTTCTCTTTAACTAGCCTCTTTGAGACTAAGGTTTTTATTCAAGTATTTAACGAATGAGGAGCTCATCCCAACCCCGTACATTAGAGAATATATTCTAGCCATACTTGCACTTTTTGAGCGCTTAATTAAGTATCTACTTATTGCTAGGTTCTATACTAAATGTCATACCTATAACCCACTATTACTTGAGCTATCCAATTAAACCCTCTGTAATATAACTCTACCTGTATTACTATTACATCTTTACGAAGTTCTAGATTCTCACCTATACCCTTAGAACTAATTTATCTTTAAAGCATTGTTGCTAGAGCTATCCGTATCTACAATCCGGTTAATCTAGGCTTTCGATAACTTACACTGAGTCCGAGAACAAGTATTTGTGAGCCGAGGCTGCTACTGTTACCTACTACTGCCCTTATAGAGTTCATCCAAACTCCAGCACCTACTATACGGACTATTTCCCATATACCCGTCATTCCAAACTTCCAATTCAAATGGCCCGAGAGGGCTGTGACCTGCCCTTGGTTTCCACGGTTGGGTTCTTTTCCTCCAGTTACTCTCCAGCAGCCAGGTTGGTGGAGTGCTTTGCCAAATACTTTGGTCTCGTTCAGTTTTCTGATTTCTGGTTGATAATCCTTTACATAGTACTATCGAAGATCTGTACTATCTTTCTACTCGGGTCTTGCCAAGCAGGCTCCTGTACTCTGTAAATTCTCTGGATTTATCTGGTAGCTTCACTTGGGTTTCGTATAACTTATACATCACACTACATGTTCCACTACCTCCCAGTACAAGCTGGTATAACCACCATTACAGGTTCTATAATCCAATAGGATACAGTTTTTCAAATGCATTTTCTTAAATTCAAATTTTCGTCACTAGTGGGATTCAAACTCTAGTCCTGCTGCTTGGAGGTGTGACAACTTGCCAACTTCACTAAGTCGCTACACCCTTCTCCCAGAATTATCAATTGAGCTTTGAAGGATCTATTGATAAACTTTTCGATAATTGCTTTATGAATTCTTTTCTTTTTATATTCATTGTTTGGTGATATATATAGCATTAATACTACAATCTCTAACTGTTTAAGTATTAAACTTATAGAGATTAAGTACTCACTTATTCGATCAATATTTCCTATATACTGTATTTTTCCTATTATTATTTACTAATATACCAACCCCAGAGCCTTTCTTTTTGTTGTGATCTGAGTTTGCCCAAAAACCTCTGTATTTGGTTTGAGTTTTTGATAGCCATTCTCCTTCGATTCTTGAAATGTTTGTTTTTGTGATGCCTAGAATATCTATTTTGTTATCTAACACCTATTCAAGAGCGAATTCTAGTTTGTGGACATTGCTTTTAATACTATTAATGTTATGTGTTGCAATGTTAAGTTCTTTTGTTTGATTAATATACTCTTTACTTCTATTATATGTAATATCTCTATTTTCCACTGGATTTGATCCACCTCTAATCAAAACTTTTTTCCCTTTTCTGCTCCTTGTGTTGTTTATTGACAAAGGATAATATTTTCTTGTTGTATATTCTTTTGTAAATTTGTCTGCAGAAAAGGTTTAGATCCTTCGCCATTTTTCTTTAATTCAATTAATGCTCCAAAATTTAGAAGTGTTGAGCAGCTTTTGGCTGCTCATTGAGTTTTTCTAGATGTCGCATGATCTTCTGCAACGTTGTGTGATGTTCGTCAATTCCTGCTGCCAAACTTCTTTCTTCTGAAAAATATTCATAGCTCGAGCTTTTTGAATTTCTTCTTTTGTTAGAGTCTTTCTTTTTATTTCTCCAACTACATCCACTACCTTGGCTTGCATCCTTTCTTTCTGATATTTGATCTCTTCCATCTACTGAAGACATTCTATAGCTATATCTTCCTTCTCTTGATGAGATC